AAGTGCTAGAGTCATCGACGTTAGTGAAGACGCTGTACTTCGAGTAGCTAATTTTAATTTAGGTCGTTTATTGTCACACGATTCATGATCATCACTGCTGATGGTTTAATATATCAACTGAGTAACCAAATCAAATATATAACAATTAAAAGCGAAGTTCACAGCACTATAGTACTGTGTTTCCCTATGCTTCCAGCTTTGCACCCTTCACATGACCGAACCGTCCCCTTTAAAAGATTATTGGGTAGAGGGATTGATACCTAGCTGCAAGGGGATCTCTTGCACAGATTTAAAGGAGGTGTTAACTTGATATACCAGGATCAAGTAGCTCGATTGAGGACCGGATCCCGTAATCCTACAAGTAGACAAATAATCGGTTTTTGATTATCTATGTGATATCTGTTGCGTGATCTGGGCAGTGAAATTATGCAAGACAGTGAGTTCAGTGAATAGATCAACATCCCAGCCCTATATATATATCTATATAAATTTAGCAGACCATTTAATTATTACTTCAGTATTCTGCGCCTTGTTTCTCCTACCATCTAGCCATGCACAACGATTGAATGCTTACCCAACATATTCTTCAGACTGAAACTAAATATTACAACTGTACGTACATGTAGATGTACAAACCGCCATTTTGTTCCTCGCCATCTGAAACCCCCCCCCCCCCCCCCAATGTCTTTAATACAAACTTCAGGAGGCTATTTGTCGTGCACGTTCAGATATTTAATTAAGCTAGCTAGAAGAGGATAAAATTCAGCTTAGTGATTGCACAATCGAGGTCACAAGAAAACTGAGCTCTGACCTGCACGACGCAGGCAGAGAACCCGAAGAAGAACGCTGAGATGCCCACTGTTATCTTAGGCTCTTGATTAGCAAAATAAGGCCTAGGTGTATACGGTAAGGGCTAAGTATTCCAAGGGGACTCCCACGTAGTGATAGGCACGAGACGAGACGAGACAAGACTTGGGGAAGTCTCGTCTTGTCTTGTATTATTTGGACTAGGTCTTGAACATCTCGAGACAATGGTCCAGTCTCGTCAAAGTCTCGAGACTTTTGGTCATGTGACTTCGTTTCTGGGGAACCTCTATAATCATGATAGTTAATGCAAACTAAAAGTTGATTTTCTTTTTTGGAACTCGATGAAAAGTTCAACTTTTCTTGGAACCGTGGCTGGGAAGCATATTTAGGTGTGGAAATAAAGTCCAAAAAGTCTCGAGACTTTCAGACCTAGTCTTGTCTTGTTTTGTCTTGTCAACCCCCAGGTCTCGTCTTGCCTTGCTGAAAGTCTCGAGACTTAGTCTCGAGACAACTTGTCTCGTGCCCATCACTACTCCCACCGAAATGATTGGTCCTGGTCGGGTGATGTACACATTTCTATATGGTTTGAGAATCAACAACTAGAACAGACAAGGCCCATATAGAGCTAGTTAAACACTGCAGGACATGTACAGATCTTGCCCCTTAAGAAGATGAGCGAGAAGGTCGGTGGGTGCCATAGGTATGGATATCCTTGGCGCCAAGATATAGCGAGTGAGCAGTCATGAGCGAGTGATAGTTAGTGTATACGTATACGCCTGAAAATTTCAGACTACCGTACTAGATATCATATACTACATATGTAGTATTAATACCGTTCCATATTATCTTTCTAGCTTAAAAAATCTTTTGTGGATCCATGGAGGTATGATAAACGTCCAAACCCGCCGGCTCCCAACTAGTACACAGTTAAGTTATATAAGACCGGTAGAGGCCGATCGATAGCCTCATGATAAGACCGTCTCATTTTAACTGCAAAGGTGGTGACAGACGTTTGGGAAGAAGATTACTCAGAATGTACAAAGAATGCCTTGACGTGACTCCTTTAGCAAGTACTTAGCTACAAAACACTGATTATCATCCGGCCTCCCATCTCGACCCAACACAATCAAACAAGCGTTAGATTGATAAAAACTTTTCCTTGGTCTAAAACACCCTCCTACTCACTATACAACGTGTTTAAACCGGGACTCAAGAGCTTAAAAAGAATAATCAGGAAGTTTGCGCCCCAAGAGTGAAAAAGGGAAGAATGGTAGCCGATGGCGCCGGTGACTGGTATCTATATAGGGCTGCGCCGAAGTAAGCGGAATAATAGGCAAGATTAGAGCTATGCGAGAGTTTCTGGCACGATCGTGTACATGGTTTTCCAATACACTCCAAAGAGCTACAAACCGATTCATTTGTGTTCATTTCCTTCGAGAAGTACGCCGTAGACTCAGGATTAGGATAATCAAGTTCCAGCTCAAACATTAGATCTGGTGATAGTCTTCCGTTTCCGCGGCCATCATCGCAGCCATCTAATACCGTTACATCGATGGCGCCCTCTGTGCATATACCACGGCAAGTTGGGAAAGAAACCCCCGCTCTCTGCTGTAGATGCTTTAGCCTTTTTACCGTTTGAGACTTTAGGTCTATATACGAAGTCTGGAGAGATATATCGTCTTCCCACTCATCTTCAGTAGCCCTGGTCATAGATGCCGAGTCGGGAAGAACAATAACATCTTCTTTCTCATTATATTCCTCACCACCTATCGTACAACCAGTTCGCTCACTGATTTTCTCCATACACTGAAAGTGATGGGGTAGGTTGCCATAGCATTCAGGGCAGCGCTCGAACCCTCGATAATATTGGTCGTCATCCAAGAGGTGCCGGCAAATGCACTGATAACGGTTTCCAACATGAGAGGCATCGGGTTTAGGCTGGTCAGAACATTCTATAACGACGCATTGCCCTGTTGTAGGTTCATACCCACAAGCGTATTGGATATAGCGATACTGGTACATCTTATTATTGCAATGGCTAGGGTGGGAGTTAATATTGCGAGGAAGGCGATGGGTGTGGTTGAAAACTGATGTACACGAGAACTAAGTGGAGTATTTCATCAGAGAATGAGGTAGACAACTTGTTCATTTCAGTTATTTTTAAACCACGACCGTGTTTCTTCCCTTGTCTTGACTCTTTTTCAAAGGCCGACCACATATATCCTAATTTTGGTGGAATCGACGTAATACTTTGTCATACATTAAAACAGTACCAATAACGTCATACCGGACAGAGCGCACATACCACCAAAGCCCAGTACAGCTATTATGCACGCTTGCTTGTTGTAGACCCAGCCTAGTAACCACAACTTGCCTAGCTCCAATTCTATCCGGTACGTTATGAAATGTTCGATGCCTACATGTCCTCATCCATAATGTTAATTATGGCAGTTGATATAATGTATACATGTATTGTTGGTTATATGTACTCATCTCGGCGGTTGCAATCTGGGGCGCAAGCGGAGTAAGGGTACATGACGCATGTACATACATACGTACATGCAGTTATATTACGATCAATGAGTACATTTACGTTAGTATCTCTCCCGCTTCTCTCGCTTAACACCACCCCTCCTCGCGCTTTTCGCGCTTGAGGAAGGAAATATATCCCATTGCAACGCTGTAACCTTGACTCGGGACTAGGTTCTAGCAAAGACGTAAAGTCCTCGGGTCATGTGTAGGCTATTTTCTAGCATCATGATGAGACAACTAAGGTTGAGACTCACGGGACCCGGAGACTTTACGTCTTTACTAGTAGGTCCTACTTTATCGTATCAAAAAGCTTAGGACAACTCTCAAGATCTATATATTTTCCAAATATAGATTACAGTTTGGTCCTGCTTCCAGCCACTTCAAAATCCATACGTTCAGGCAAGGACGCAAATGGGCTGGCCCTGAACTGCTTCTGGCTTTGCCCGGCCCGGCCCGAGTATTATAATCTGAGGCCTGGCCTCCCAGGCCTCAAAGATTTGCCTGGGCCTACATAACATAAATTTAGGAGGAATATTAAGTCCTTCTGAGCGTGTATGGAGGGGCGTTCGTCACGTCCCAATCACGCAAATCGGCCACAATAACCAAATTTTGAAAATACCGGAAAACCAGAAAACCCAAATACTAGAGCGTCGGTCCGGAAACGAATTCCAGACTAGATGTATTATAACTGTTTATACCGGCCGGCGTTGTCAAATACCATCGTACCTTAAAACTCATATCTCCGTTGTGATAGCGCGTAGACAACTCCATCACCACTCATCCGTCCGGAAACTTGATGGTGATTGGTTAAGAAGAGGCAGAAAAGCCGGATATAAGGTACAGTTAGATATTCTTACCGTATATAGCAACTGTCGAGTCGTCTATTTGATTAGACTGGGGCTAGGGTTTATGCATACTATATCACTCGCTATTTGCAGATCCATGTAAGGTGAAAATTCTAGATAGGTAGTTAATTATGTGAAAGGGTTCATTGAGCTATGGCTTGCTTAGCTGACCGGTTTTCATGAGGTGAGGTGAACTTGGTATTTCTTGTACGTAATGCTAATTCCATGATTTGAAGTCAACCACCGCGGACGAGTGAAAGCTCGCTCCACGGAAGGCTTCAAGTTTGCACTTTCCGGGTATGCATATAGAATGCGGGGTAGCAACCTCTAGCGAGCTATTAATAAATTGGTACTAAATTTGTCATGCATACAACGAAATTAAAAGGTAAAACACTGGTACCAGTCTGAGGCGAGGGATAGAAAAATTATAGTCCTGGATATTGTATTCAATTACAACTATATAGCCCCGAATATATATATACTATATGAAGTTAGCTAGATCCTTCATCTTTGGATAGATACTCTTTTACTGCATACAAATGGTGGAGCATGGTAATTATACGGCCAAGAAAACTCGTGCTATTGGTATATTCAAGCAATAATATATATATAGCTAGCTATAGGGTTACACATTGGTCATGATAAGATTGGTAATTCATGACACATCACTCGCAGTTCTATCTACATGTATCGCTCACATTGCCAGCTCTACAGCGCCGTGTCATGGCCATCCACCATAAGAAAGGAATGAAATAACCTCTAACACCACTATACATACAATCTAGACGACAGCTAGTGCTATATGTACTTGCATCCTCAAAACTAAAGACCCATTAATTGCATGAGTACATATTTACAATCATCTGTCATATACGGAATATATAAGTGTAAGTACTGTATTAATCTACCCACCAAAAACATCAGTAAACCATCCTCTTCCTACTTCTTTCTCACTCGCCACCCTCTCTACCAAAGCCTCCATCGCCGCTCGATCCGCCAAAACCTTTCCGTCTACAACCCTCTCCTTTACCTCACCCCGACTAAATACCAATAGTGTTGGTACCTTATTAACCTACACATCTCAAATTAGCCACTAACCAATCCACAAATCAAATCCCAAACATACAGTGTACCGCATCCCCACGTCCATCATTCCTGGCGCATCCAACTCCACTTCCGAAAACCCGACACCGACATTACGGCGCTCTAGGATCTCGGAGAGCAATGACTTGACTGCACGGCAGCTGGAGTAGTAGGAGGTTGTCCAGAGGGTCAGTAGGGGGATGGATGTAGTAGTGGCAAGGCGGAGAAGCGTGTGAAAGTCGTGATCATTGCGGACACTACAGTGATATTAGCAAGAGGGTTAATGTCACGTAGAAATGAAAGAAGTGTTTACGGGTCATAAATGCGGTTACTTAGGGCATTTGTGGGGGCAGTAAGTGTCCGAATGTGCGGTCGGAGAAGTTGGGGAATTTTGGGGGCTATTCGGGGCAGCATTTTGTCCAGGAACCTACAGGTGGTAGATTCCAAAGTCTCAGGAAATGGTCTTCGGGAGGGTTTTCGGGTAGGCGTCAACTGGGTGAAACTACGTCAGTGGCTTGGCGGACTGGCCACCATTGACAGCCCAGGCAAATCCCCAATTCCTCGCCCACTCAATGAAATGGAAACAAAAAAAAAGAAAAAGACGCTTAATTATCATTATCGCTGATACCACATCCCCGCTCCACATCCCCGCTCCACATCCCCTCTCCACCCCGCACTCGTTAATACAAGCGACATAAACAAGAAAATAAAACAAACGTAAAAGGTAAAGGTACTCAAAAGCAATAAAGAATAAAAAGTAAAGGGCAGTGCCCCTCCCCAAATTTCAACGCCCGCTCTCACCGAAGCATTGAAACGCCATATACCCAACCTTACCGAACCGAAACCAGACCCGCCTATCCCCTTAACCCCCAACAAGTTGAAACAAGACATAGCACTGCTAGTGCCTTAATAAACAGAGGAGACTACATAATGGAAGAAAAACAAAATATCAATGCACGCAGAACAAACCGGAAATCATGCGGTGGACAATAACCAATGGAGACAAAGACAAAAAGAAAGTAAAAAAGAACATGAAAAGATGCAAATAACTCTACTCACTACGTGCCGCGGTCCCCAATTCTGCTTGTTAGTTGCACTCTTTAGACTTCCATGGTTTCCAAGAACCCGTCGTCGTCATATTCATCTCCTCCCCAGACACTTGAACTCTCTTGAAATTCATCGTCAAACGCATCGTCGTCACTATCGTCCCACCCTTCTTGTCCGGAACTTACACCGCCCATATCTGCCCTCCATCCGCCCACCCTGTTGATCTCCATTGGCGAGTGCGATAGCGAGCTAAGCCCTCTCAAATATAAATAACAAACTCTCTTTTTATGCTTGTTAAAGAAAAAAAGGTTTGTGGACCATATGAGACCCTCCTCGCCATAGGGGTCGTCCGAGACATCGTCAGGCGAGTAGGTGTATATGTTGCAGCTGAGAAGGTCCATCTCCTTATCGATAATGTCCCACATTTTAGGTAAGGCTTTAGATGGATTCACGCCAAGATTAAAGAGCGTGGTATTAAAGTTGTTCATAACGGGTCTTAGATGTCTCTCGCGCCTAAAGTCGGAGGGTTTTAGAACTGTTGAGAAGTCGTAATCTGAGTGGGAAGCATTCAGGGTTGCGATAAGATAAGCGAAAGTGCGCCGAGCAGAGATCTGGTCGAGAGGCCCAAACGGCGAATGGAGGGTTTGATAAACTGCTTTCGACTGATTCTTACTCCCGAGGGTTGCCGCTGAGGTTGCACTTGATTTGGGGGGCGATAGAGACTCCGATAGTCTGAGGTCGGCTTCATAGCGGTTGGTGATAGTGTTGGAAATATTTTTGTATAATTTCTTATCAGCGCCGGCGGCCTGAATAAATCGGTGCCAGGTAATAAAGAATGGGCAAAATGTTAGCTTGATATCGAGCTGTAAACAAGCTTTATGTATTTCATTCTATTGTTTTTTTATTTTTCTTCTTTCTTTATAAGAATATTCAGAATGAGCTGGGCATAGCGACCTTGGTGGTGTAAATGTCACAGCCGCCAACGACTCGACAGTCCGGTGTGTCGAAGACGAGGGCGCGATTGATAACATCCAACTCGCGGAGTGGTAGGAACTGTTGGAAGGTGCAGGTGTCAGCTCAGGGGAACTTTTGAGGGGAGATGCCAACGGTGCAGGTGATGTGCAACCGATGCATGACAATGACCGGAAGCTCATAAATACTAACCTTCATGTTGAGTAAGGTTTGTTGAAAGTGGGAGGATGGTTTGATTAAGGTTATCGTAAGTGAGGAGTAGGATAAGGATTGGGAGGAGGTTTGTAGGTTGTGAAGGTTGTTGGTCGGCTGATGAAGCAGTAGCAGCAACCCAGGGGATGTGCTGAGGATTTGTAGGGGGTGAGGACAGCTGGATCACACGTAATCCCGGATCTTGGAAATAGAATGGTGTGGTGTGAATTTACTACCTAGTACTATTGTACCTACTGGCTTTCTTTGTACTCTACATGTAGTTTATCGGCACTGGTCTATAGGTACTTCTTGTAACGGCCTTTGGCGGCACATACAAACCCCTTAGATATTGGTATGCTGATCTGTGAGGACCAGACAGGCGTGCTATAAATGGGCGACATGATTGGGACGAATATAATTGGAGCTGTGTAGAAGCTGGTAATCGGTCGGGCGCTTTAGGGAGACCATCCGAGGTAAAGCTAGTACTTTGCGGGTATTATTCAGCACATATCAGCGTTTATTCAAGAACATTCAATTGCCCACAGGCATGGGTGGCCTTGTGACATCATGCCTTTCCCCACGTTTATCCTTGGTTGGTTGGCTGGGCCGTCAACTCCCGGCTTCGACATCAACCGTGCCATTAATAGAGTTATTGTTCGGCTGCTTGAGGAAAGATACAGATGAAGGTGAGAGTGCTCATGCGCGATGTCTGATTCCCCGAGCATAGAAACCGTTTCCATATAGCTAACCGAGCTACCGTACACGTACGTGGGTTGGGAGAGAAACCATTTCTCTTGTACTAGGCTCACACTATAATCTTTTGAGGGGCCAAGCTCCAACCACGACCAAGGGTGTCGTGTCTCTCAGATCTCGAGTAATTATCCAAACAAACTCTCACGGTGCCTGCCATTTTCGATCTTTCTGCACAGCTTGCAAGATTAACAGCTTCGTTACAGGGTTCGAAGCTCACATCCTAATTGTCGTCAACATAACTCCATCACTTCTACCTCCTTCGGCTAGTCCATCACTTCTGGCAACAACTCCAAGCACTCACACCTTAGAGCTAAGTATCCACTGTACAAGACTTGAAGAATGTTGTCGGACGGTTCTTGGTCTTGGGATTAGTAAAGTTGGATGAATATGTTGTGAAGTTTGAACTTCTGAACTGTCCCGGGAGCTTGGAAAAAGATATGTCTCTTTCTGGGAAATATGGAAGCATCGATTGAACACCTTGGTGGCTATATTGTCGATAGTTTGAAGCTGACTCGTGAATTCCGATGTCGAGTCCTGGATCTCATGACTCTTCCGGGTTACTTGAGAAACTAGGGATATTGCGGGACTCATGAAAACTCACTAGGACACGAGCCACAACCTTGGTAGTCTACCGCCGAAAATCTCTTTAGTCAGCCAATATATTACCTAGCCTGCTAATAATCTGATTAGTTACTTAATCCAGAAATGGGAGGTTTCAACGCTGTGTGGTACGCTGGAATTCATGGCGGGAGCTGTCATTAGTTTTTAACCTAGTGGAAACCCCGATCCCTACAAACATGCAGTTTAAGTTTGAGTCGTCAGTGGAAGTCCTTCGAGAGAGGTTGTCACAATTGGAAGGCGATGGCTCTAAGTCATTAGAATCCCCGAGTCGGCCCAAATCAATCCTAACAATATTTACTACTCATGTCGTGAATATACCCTACTATCTCGAATGGTAATGGGGTACGGTGGTCTGAGAATGAACATGATTCATCGCTGTAATTATGTTTTCGAGCACTCAGATACAATGTGATGTCAAAGTGTTAGTTGATGCTCCGGTAGATTAACAAATTACCCAGCTTTATACGTTTTTCAGCTCCTGAGTCAGAATAGTTGACTCATATATTATGTCACTACCCATACTATATAAGTACCTTCATGCAAGGCCCCTGCCGGAATCGATCTTTTGTCTTTGAATCTTGGATTATACTACAGCCACTCATCAAAAGTGTTCGTGATTCATATCAACATTGGTCAGTGCGTGGTGTGGCTTACCCGATTTTACGGTCAAATTGAGGAACTAAAATGTATCTATATAATTGTATCTAGTGAGTGACAGAGAATAAAAATACCATGAATGTCTAATATTGACTTTGACCACCATTGACTGTTGCTGTGTTGAGGTTTTGAACATTTCAATGGGCACTTTGATTCCTGACTTGAGCCGGACATGTCACATTAAATCCGAATCACGAACACTTTTGATGACTGGCTGTACATATACTGGAATTGTTTGCAACCTCCGATGCCGCAGGATATGGGACGGCTTTGCTACGATCAGCAGGAGTGAATAAACATTACTTCACAACATGCTCCAGAGCCTACAAATCATTCTGACTTGCAGCTTTGATCATCTCCTACGCCCATATTTAATTATCAGACTAGCACATGCGAGAGACAACCCGAATTTAAGAAAACTATATCAATGTACAACTTAATCATAGTCTATCACTCGCATTCGTCGATAACACTTTCCCTACTCATCTTGTACCTGTGCAACAATATCATTGATAGACGTGGCATTCAGGGTCTGAAACTTTGAGTCCTGTTAGCTCTCTCAAGGATAACCCCGGGAATAGAGCTTGATATTTATCATCAGACCAAATATCGTGATATCATTGGCTACTCCAGTCCTCACCGAAACAAACTGCTCCTATGCTAGCTGGCCATAGCACCGACAGCATTCTATAGGGTTTATATCCGGCCGTTTCGGGTAAACATAACTTGCAATCAATTGATCACAACTGGCCCAGCAGAGACTTTTCTTAACTGCAGTAAGCTGACGATAGGGGAGTAGTCGGCGACTTCTAAATCGACGCGGAAATGGCTATTGACGTGTTCAACTTGGCTGGTCCAAAAAAAAAGAAATCAGAACAAATCCCATCCTGGGTTATGATGAGTGGTTATGTGCACAGTTTTAAAATTTCTTCCCGGATCTGGACCAGTGGTTCGCTTCTATGGGTCATTTCCAGTGGCCCTACGTATCCCTTCGTCTGGCAAAAAATGCTGACCCCCCCAAAAAAAGCAAACTTTTGTGTGGCTTTACTAACAGATCCTGTTGTCTCTCTTATCAAATAATAGATCTCCCATACAAATTTAATTCCTCTATTATAGGGGGGTCAGCATTGCCAGACTAAGGGATAAGATTAAGAACTTGTGAACAGGAGAAAACTGAGGCAGTGTTCATGCGGAGCTAGGCGGCCGCGGGGTAAGTGCAGCCCGTTAGAACACTTCAAAAGTGCAAGAGCCACTCTGGAGCACTCTCTGGTTTTGGGCACAAGGCGCTAAGTCATACATAAATGTATTAATCGTCAGAGTGACTGGAGCTATAAAAGTGCCTTGGCACATTCCATGCTCTTTATGTAAGATACTTACTTCTTTACCAATATATATGTATGAGCCAGAAAATGGGAGTGCTGAAGTGCCGTTCTACCATACAAACAATATTTATTTGGTCTTTCGCATTTTCTGGCTTATATGCTAGCTAGTAAGCAAGTACAGATTGGATACAAAGCTAGTTGATATCGTCAAATATCCTATCGTATCCGGCATCTTCCGGGAACTGAGGTCCTGTTATCACGGGTTCAACTTACATAGATACCCATAGGGCTGCCAGGATGGTGTGCGGGTGTTATCGTTGGTTGGACAATGTGTAGATAGCGTTTGTTTAAGAACATATGGTGCATATGCCAAGATATTGCGAGCCGATAACAGAGACGGGTGTTTAATCTAAACTCGAGGACTTGGATAACAATGAGAATTAAATCTCTCTGCTACTCACCAATATCCTAATTGTTGTTGTCACCCAAAAAGCTCTTTTTATTAATCTTGTTTATTAGATTTATTTATAAACAAGCTATCTACTCTAGGGGAGAGAATTATTAGGAGGCAGGGCTTGATAGCTCGATGATTCTTTTAGCGTCGTGTTGTAACATTGAGACAGTCTCATATTTTTGTCTTGTGTCGAGATCTCTTCTCCACTAGAAAAACGCATAAGATTTCGGGGCGGTTCCTCCATTTGGAGCTTTTGGCCCTTATGCAGTGCAGTCCAAGCCCTGATAATACAAGCCCTGAGTAAGCATGGTACGCGTATGCGACGCTGCAATCAGCACTAGTAGATCTCTAGGAAACGAAAAACTTCGAGTCGGATAGAGACTCCAATCATTCTATTTTGACGATGCCAAACTATCACCCCCTGCAGCCCCGTGTATAAATATATTCAAAATCTTGTCGTGAGCCCGACCAAAAGCGTCTATTTGCGAAGGTTGAGAACTGATCGAAGGCTAGCACATTGAACTAATCAACAAGCTTAAGGGAGCGCATACCTGTCCGTTAAGTACCGTACATGTAGGCATTGCTTATTATAACACAACTAAATGTAGAGCATCGATCTTGGGAGAGCAAATTTCGGGGTTATGGTTAACGTTCCCTGTGTTATGAGAATTGCGGTAATCAGATATATCAGTGCTAAATACATACATGGGGACTGGCAAGGATCTGATGTCTGCTCTCAAAAGTCTATACGCGGAGGCTTTATTTATCCTGGACTTCAATTTCAAGTGCCGTCTGGAAGGAAAAAAAAATGAGAGGGGGAAATTCCTCTTGATATTAAAGTCTAGCTGAGGTCGTAAAGATGGCCGAGCTAGCTTGGCACCTGAGCTGGCCGGGACCATGTACATGTAGTTAGACATACACTTGACATGGGGTAGCATACATGTATCTAGCTCTTGACTGCCGCTGTGGATTACTGTGACTTTAAAGTTTAAGAAGACGATCTAACCAGCTGTAAGTTGAGATGTATATACATACTCTACACGTTTGGTAAAAATGAACGACATACTTGGTAAGCGCTCCATAATAATTAAATGTATCATATGGGAATTGTCCAGGATTGATGGTATAATGTCAAATTAAAGATTGCCCATGTCAGTACTCTATTTAAGTGTGGCTATATTTATCGGCATCCTAGACCTAACCTATTCTATCCTGATGAGATGGACGTGTAAGTGCCGTTTATATATACATGTACCTACATATCTGTGAATGTACTCTACTCGTATTTCTCTGACGTTTGTGGACGCGACTGATATTGCATGCCATACAAAAATACGCCAAGCTCATGATTTTGGGTGTATGCAATAATGGCCCAGTTCAAAAACGTCAGCGAAATACTAGTAGAGTACATGTAGGTACATCAAGCAGCCAACATATCACATGTACGTAAATGCGTGTAGGGGTAGTCAGCACAAATCGATCAGCGTAACTACCTGCAGCGCCTTGTCTGATCATGACTTCGTGTTGTGTTTTTGCAACGGGGCGATTGCTTTTGACAAAAATGATCCACTGTAGATGAGTGGATGAGAATATGGAATGAAATCTCAGACAATTGTGTAAACTCATCCGGCTCCCACGGCAGCAGGATTACTCGTATTTCAAAGATTCGAAACCTGTCCGCAGGTACAGATGCATGGCTGTACTGGACATCATGTTTGTGGCGGAGAGATCCAAAGGATGAACTAGCACCATGACGAGTTGATGTATGTGAGAGATGTCGTTGAACTGGGGCGTTTAAGCGTGCGCCTTCGAGAAGTGAGATCCCAAAGCTTGACTCGGCATGCAGAAATCAAACCTAAGCTTTTCAGCCGCACCCTCAGATCTAGAAGGACTTCCGTATGCACCCCCCAGTCGGGCCTATGTACCTTCTCTACCTATCCCCCTCCGGGCTACAACTCGCCAATCGGGGAGCGGTACATACATAGAACGTGGCTTTCAGGATTAGAGATCAATTGCAGCGTATCACCAGCTCGGGATAGCACCGGTTTTGGCTGTCAGCAAGACAGGAGGATTTTTTTATTTCTACTAGCTGTCCCCCCCCCCCTCAATCACATAAACCCTCTCTTCCAATCTTTTCTCTCTCCATCCTATTATAAATCAATTTCCGGCGCAACTTTCTCGTTTCTCAACTTTTTTGTCTTAGTCGCCGACAAATTAACACACAAGAATCAAGGGTTTCTCCGTTCATTCGTGATTTGCAGCAATGTCTTTGGAGCCCAGGCCTTCTGTTCGGTCGGCTAGTGGATACAGAAGAGTGAGTATACACCCAGACGAGGGTGAAATGAGAAGTATAGATGGTGTTGTCCACGTACACCCCCGAGGAGAGGAAGATCCCAACTCGGATCCAGATCTTCGTATATCTCGACGTGTTACGGAAGACTTCCAGAGGAGATGTGGGAACGGTAGGAATCCTCTCTTTTTTCGATTTATTCAAATATTCATAAAACTTAACATTCATGTGTCTAGCCGTACCGCCGCAATGGAAACCCCAAAATCCTGAAGAGCTACAAACACACTTCAGTACCATGAATGGGGAGACCCAGTCTCGCTTGGCCCGACAGCACTCAGCAAAGAAGCAGTTTTTTCACCTACTCTGGAAGATACTCTTGAGATGGTTCGCTACTTTCGTGCTTTCCGCAGGCATGTTGGTCACATTTTATGAGTTCGAAAGGGTTATGATTTTGGACAAATCCCAGAAAAGATGGTTCAACGCTTTGTCCACAGGTCTATATTTAACACTGGGACTAAATCTTGCCGTATGTTTTACTTGCTATTTTAATTGGAGAAGTGGTCATTTACGAAAATGATATCCACAATCTTACACAAGTTTCTATTTGATAGCAAATTTCGTAGAACTAACCGTAACTTTTTTTTGGTAATATCAGGGTTCATTCAAAGGGATGGCAACTATCATCCGATGGAAGCTACTATCAAGGAAGCCTCATTCATTAGAAGAAGTATGCGTTACCCGCCCAGAAACCATGGTTTATGAGTTAGGTCACTAATTGATTGTGCGATAGGTGGACTTTATTCTAGGAATATCTAGTTTGATAAAGGTTTTCCGTTTTGGCCTCCATAGTTTGAAAGGCCGGCCGCTGCGAGCGTTCCTTTGCTTCTTATGGCTTCTCATTAACTGTGTAAGTATCACCGGCTTTTATGCCTAACATTTCATGCACAGAGACCTAATAATGTGTTTAACAGATTGGGAGACTTTCTGTTGCTCTTACGGGGTTAACATACAGCTATGATAGTGCCGACGCATTGTTCTCTACCCCGGGACAAGTGGCCATCAGCGACCTGTCGTACTTTTGGCCTTCGAATGATACAAGTGAGATACCGGCACTAGGCGCCGAGTATTCTACAGCTCATGCTTGGGGTTTATGTAAGTTCTGTTGTGGCTGGCTGGAGATATTGGTTTTTGATGCATAGAGGGACTGACCTAAATCTACGCCTTCAGCTTCAATATTACTTGGTAATTCAGAGGAATCATCTCACTTTGGTGAATTTGCTCATGTTCTTGAAAATCACGATGGACAATGGCGTTACTATGTAAGCATCTGGACGTATTTGAAGTACGACAGGGATATATTCTGATAAAAACATAGTTCCGGGAATATAGCCCAACTAACCAAGCCATATCACACAAATCGGACCGGTACATTACGGTCTCCACGACTTGCAATTATTTTCCTGTGATCAAGGGCCAAGATGGAACTACAGATTCTATCACATATCGTAACGGTACTGAAGAGATAGAGCTTAAAGATGTCGGGGTATGTACATTCTGTGTACTATTCACCGTTGAAATCACTAACAGGGATCTAGTATCATTCACGCGGCGTAACGTGGGTTTATATATAAATTCCACCATCTCCATACAGAGGAAACTAATAGTCTTACTTTAGAACTTGGTTGAACTTACGAAGCGACTTATCGGGAAATGCCGGGTGGTACTGTGGACCTAGATGTGCTGCCATGGCTGCTATCCAATATCTTCCATACGACCCCAACCTAGATGCCGATATTGAGAAACGAGATGATGATGACGAGGATGGCCAGAATAGCGATTCAAGCGAATACGGATCCTATTTCTCATGTACAATTGACATTTCAGAAGTGCACAACGCCAAAATTGACGAACATCATCTCCCAGATCGAATGGCAGTCATCGCGGCAGGTGCGATCGGTTCTCAAGGATATGCGAATGGATATAATACCTCATGGGCTTCTGTTGGTTACTATGAAGGGTGAGATTAAATTCCAAAAAAAATTCTTTTCAATATGTATCTCTAATCAAGAGGGCAGGACAATGTGGGGTGAACGTGTGGAAGAGGATGCAGAACGTATGGCTGAGTTAGGCGGCCAATTTGCGTGCGGAGTAATTGCATCCCGTGATCAATTTGGGTCATCGAACATTAAAGCCCAGGGGAATAAGCCTGCAATTGGTGTACTATTGAAGATTAAATGGCCAGAAACGGTTAGTACCGGGGAAACTATCTCGTCTATATAATTCTTGTGTTAACCCAACCCGTAGATTGCGATACTTGGCGGAATTTTGCTAGCACAATTAATCATGGGGTTGATGGTCATCTTATGGTCAACTACGGTCATCTGCAAGGCCGACTCTTATCTAGCCACGGCAAGATTACTTAGACGTAAGAGTACCCTTTATTTTAGGCATAGGTCAAACTTACTAATTTTGGGAAATTTGTAGCAATTGTCGAACGCCTTGGACCAAATGGTTGCTATCTCACAGGCCAAGAAATATCCAGTACCTTTGAAGGCCGTGTGGTGTATGGTGTTCGAGTGGATCCATCGGGTACGCGTCACCATCTCGATATTGGAGAGGACATCGCTGTGAAGAAGCACTTTCCCGAGGGCTGGTACGACGGAGAGGAGGCTTCGATGTATCCGAAGAGTAGCACTTCCTGTCGGGAGACAAAATCTTTAGAGATATCCAGAGTGGTACGAGACAAAACCAGCATCCCAAGGCTACGGAGACGCCGGATTATAAGGAAAACTCGACGTGGTACGGTGTTTGTTTAATTTTATATAGTCCTCGGGGATTCTTTTGTTTATTTTATATGTTTATTACCGGCTGCATGCCACATCATGTAGATTTTTTTCCCCACCACTCTCATCGTTCGGGGTGCATTTCGCACCAAATAATTAGATCCCCCTAGAATAAAAAGTCACCCGCATTCTTTGATTAGAGCATAAAGACCTCCTAAACTGCCTCTTTCCTTTCTCTTTCACTTTTTTCTATTCCCTCCCCCTTTCTTTTTTTTTTGTTTTGGGGGGGGGGGGGGGTGAATTTTTCATAAAGATGAATGATCAGAGAAGTAAACGTACTTAGGTAGATTTCAAAGTTTTATTTTGTTAATGCTTTTGTACTTTCCCACATAAAATAAAATATTATCAACATAAGCATTCCCTCGTGATGATTAATGCTTTATTTACTACGCTCTAGTGATCCAGTATTCAACAAACACCAATCAGAGGCTACTGAGTAAGGTATATCCTTACCGAATAAAAGATCATTGGCCTTGAATCATCTAAGAACTCAGCCTAGCTAGCAGCCCACATTAACCTCATCTGCTGAAATCCGCCGGTACGTATCTTCTACTCTGGCCTCGTGTTTAACTATTATTATATGTTTAGTCTTCGCCCTCTTTTTTTTTTTCAGAAATTCTAAATAAAGGAGATTTTATTTTCTCAACATTGGCCAAAAACAGAAACCGTGCATGACTATAGGGATACACACCCCCCCCCCCCACCCCCCTTGGGCTAGTGGGGGCTGTCGATGATCCCTAGCTAAAGCCTGCTTTAAATCAAAGGAACAAACATTACGATCTCATTCCTGGATTGAATTACTCGGCGCTCAATAGGACTAATGACTAGACCACGGCGAGCTGGAGCTCAAGTATTACAGCTCTACATACCAAATAATCTCAGGCTAGGCCGTCAACAGCTAACAGAGTTCTTTTCAGGAGTGGTTATTTATATCCCCCCCCCCGAGTCACTCCCGGCCCGTCGTTGTTAAGAAATCAATACCTAGCCATTTGGAACACAATTTTTCGAATAAGGCCATGCCATCCAAATTTTTTCATTCTATATTCTGGTCCCGCAAAACCCTCTCTTCTCGTATCGTGTGGCGGAACCTCACGGATATTGTATTACTTTTTTTTTATTTTTTATTTATTTATTTATTTAGCCGGATGAGAATGCGAGCAGCTGCAGCCGAGTGAGAATCCATGCAGAAAAGATGCTAATGACTAATCAGCAATTAATTAACTATTCCCCGGCCTTATGAAAATTTAAATAATTACCATACGCAGAAAACTACATAACACTGTACGCGATGATTGGTGTCATGCATGGGTCATGATTGTACGTTTACTTAATAAAAATACTCAGAATCAACTAAAGGCTCTATCGTGGGGGTGTTGTCTTGTCGAAGAGGTCAAATTAAGCTTATCTGCACGCAAGACCCTCGAAAACCACAAACCTAGCCACATGAACGCTACCACATCACCGAATCTCACCACGGCCCCAATAAGGCTACCCCAACATCCACAAAGGACCCTTAACGATATTTTGCCCAACCACGTTTTACTCCCGTTCATCTGGATCATTCCAGCCTATCCACGCTGGGACACCTCCGCTCAAGTGCAGAAACAAAAGCCCTTCTAAACCAACAACCCGCAAGACGCACCATGACAAGCTCTCAAAGGCATCCTCGAGCTGCCCATGGAGATCTCCACACATTACAGCCCAATTGCAACTCTCGATACCTACTGGACCATCAACCCGACTTCCAACCCGCCAGAATCGATCCCCTTAAGCCAAACGCATCGGGCATCTGCACTCGAAGCTTCTTGCCACTCGGTCCAGTCTACTACGAACCCACCAAAGGAATATTCCGCTCCAGTGTACGCGTACACCTCAACACCCGGCAGCCGCCCGTATCAACCATCTCGGAGCTCTGCCGCCAGCCAAAAAACACCTAACCCCGACATCTCGATTCGAGTTTTTTCTCTTCCGAACGTCTCGGATCACGGAGTGTGTAGGCTTCCGCAATAGTGATGACGTCAAGAGAAGCTTGGGGAATCACGATAACGATCTAGAAGCTTAGAAGCTAGTGGGGAGGCAGTGGGGGGGAGACGCGTAAGTCTCCATCGAACCTGTTTGTGACTTTCGAAAGCTTTGTAAGGGTGTGGTGGTGGTGGTATTAGTCCGGATACGGGATAGACTGATCGGTGGGGTGGCGGTACGGTGGCTACGGACGTACCGTAGACACGGGCACCGGCTATGGAGAGTCCATACCGCTCTGGGTTGGTTAGTGGATGGTTACCCTGTCGTGTTTGGCTAGCGGGGACTCGGATGGACTTGGCTTGAAGGCCAGCTACCGCATGAGCCATTTTGGAGACGCTTCAACGCATTTGGGTGCTGTGTTCGCTGCCTAACCCGTACTATAGCGTCAGCAGCGTAGAAGAAAGGAAGAGCCGTTAGCAGAACCAGTCCATGGCCGGTGCAAGTCCACGCCGCCGCGGCCGCCGCAAGACCTGACCAATCGGCCGCGGTGCGGCGAACATGCCTCTGCTTCACGGCCGGAGGGAGGTCCGCAGGACTAAACCAGTACATTCCGTGAACTCTCTCTTTTTTCGTCCACCAATCATATCAAAAGAGAAAGAATCGTCCCGGGGGGGGGGGGGGGGTGTTAGGTGAAGGGAAGGGTCGACCGCCGTTTGCATCGCTCGTATGGCGAATACAGAGAGGAGAACGCGCGTGAGGAGAGAATCACTACCCAATCATAACAAATATAGAGACAGATGGAAAGGCGGTGAAGATTATATCTGAAAAGGTGGCCACGTTGATGTAATCGCAAAGGTCGATACCCTACAGACTCTGTATGAGTGGAAGTAGTGCTCCTGCTCATCATCACCATCGATATGGGCATGTAGTAGAGGCGCTGCGTCCAGAACTTGAGTGGATAGCTGTAGTTTGCTTGCTTGACTAGCTAGATATGTAGACTGTATGTATGTAGTGCTGTAACTGAGGTAACCGTAATAATTCCTCTGACAGCTGCAACCTCCATGACGTACTATTCCGATAGACCCAGCTGGCAAACAAACCTAACATTGCATCAAGAAGTCAATAGAGCCCCGGAAATGGGCAGTTTGCCAGCTACGTAGCAGCTACACCCCCACCCCATCTCCAACCACCATTCTCCAAGTCTCCAAGCTCCGGAGTGAACACATTCTCTCCTCGATTCCCAGCACGCCCTGCAGAGAAGCAGAGCTTAGGAAAACCCTACATTGGGTTTATTTTACCAAACCCTCCAGGCTCTGTGACTGCTTGTGACTGCTCTGCTAGAGGAGACCCGATTGTGACTGCTCTATGAAATCCGGAACCCGTCCTTCACCGTTTCCCAGAGCTTCAAGAGCTGAATTTCTTCTTTGCGTAAGCTAAGCCAAAGTTGAAGCTGGCCGGATATCCGGCTTCACGTCCGTTGTGCCCACTAGAGGTGAGGTTCTACTAGGTAGCTCTAGTTCTGACGGACTTCAAGCGGGTAACCAGTGTTTTATTCTCTGTAAATGTACTCTAGTTGCGGCCGAAAGCTGTGATGTGCGGCCGGTGTTGCCGTTGTCGTTGATTTCAGCTGGTATGTTAGCCAGCTGGCTAATAGTGGTGATGATGATCATGGTGATGCTTATGCAGTATTTTGCAATGTGGCTCTTACGGTCTTATTAAAGCCATCGTCACCGTTGAGGGTAATAAATGGGTTTGTGGTGCTGAGGTTTTGCTTTTTCCTACATTACCATAATTATGCGGCGTTGGCGGTGATGAGGTGAGGTCGGGGGTCGGTGAAGCTAGTTTTATGTTTGGAATACACACTGAACGACAGCTATGTGGCCGCTTAAGAAACCAGCCACAGTAGCAAGAGCAAAGCCAGTTCGCAACGCAAAGCATTCAACATCACATGACATGACAAACCGAGTGACACCCCATGACGCACACAAAAGAAGCGTCCTATCATTACCCCCGCCCTGCCCACCTGCCTACACGTATCTAAGCACTACACCACAGCTAAGGCTACCCTACCCTACACATCAAACACCATCCCCACCCCGGGCCCGCCCATACTCGCCAAATCCATCCTCCACCCCCTCCACTGCTCCAGCCCCCTCTTGACCTCCCTCACCCTCTCCAGCCGCTCCGCCTCCATCCTCCGCCGCTCCTCCTCCGCCTGCATCTGCTGCTGCTGCCACTGTTGCTGCTGTTGCCACTGCTGCTGCTGCTGCGCCGAATACCCACTATCCCCGCCCCCGCCCCGCCACCCCCGAGATCAACAGTCTGGAACCCCCCACCCCCGCCGCCGCGGGCTTGCAGGTCGCGCTCAAGCGTCTGCACCCTCTTCTGCAGCCGCCGGCGCTCGACATCCTCAATCTCGTCAACGTCCTCGTCGTCCTTCCCGTTCCCGCGCGGCAGCGCGCGCAGCCGTGTGTTCTCCGCTTCGAGCTCAGCCACGCGCTTGCGCAGCTCTGCCATCTCGGCGAGGGACTCGCGGTTGCGCGTGTCGGTGTCGCGGTACATTGTTTTCAGCGTTGCGTAGTCCTTCTCCAGCGTCGCCAGTGCTGCCGCCTGGGCCTTCATGGTAGCGGACTCTGCGGCGAGGGATGCTGCGGCGGATGCTGCGGCGGCCTCTGCGGATTTGCGGGCGTCGGTTTCGGTGGTGAGGAGGGCGGTGGTGGAGGCGAGGGTTGATTTGGAGGTGGTGAGGTCGGCGGTGAGGGCGTCGACTGTGGATTCGAGGGTGTGGAGGGTGGCGGTGGTGGTGGTGAGGGTGGATTGTGTTTCGGTGAGGGACTTGGTGGCGCGGTCGAGGTCGCCGCGGAGCTTGGAGATCTCCATTTCCATGGTTTCGATCTGCTCTTCTTTTGCGGAGAGGGACTCCTTGTCCTGCGATGTGGAGGAGTTTGAAGATTGGAGCTTGAGGTCCGCGATCTGCTTCTCCTTGTTGGACAGCTGCGACGTCAGATGCGACGTCTGGCGCGTCAAGTCTGCCACCTCACTTTTCTGCACACCCGTTAGCCCGCCGCCCTCTCCACCACCACCCCCACCACCAAAAAGACAGAAAGGAAGTCGCCGCTCACCAGCTTCTCCAGCAGCCCCTCCGCCTCCACCCCCTTCGCCTTATCCGCCTCCGCGCGCTCCTCCACCTCCTTCAACCTCGTCTTGACGCCCGCAAGCACCTGCACTGCCTCATCGCGCTCCACCTCCGCATCGCCCAGCCGCTTCGCCTCGCCCCTCAGCCTCTCAATCTCGGCCTCGTGGCGCTCGACCGCCTCCGTGAGCTCCGAGATGGTCGTCGCCTGCTTGCGGTACAGGTCCGGCAGGTCCGTGGGCGACAGCGGGCTCTTCCGGAGCTCGGCGCCGGTGATGGACGGCCGGCGCAGCGAGGTCGAGATGCGCCGCGTGTGCAGGGAGGTGCCGGGGAGCGGCGTGGACTGGTCCGTCTCGGAGGAGGGGGAGGCGGGGGAGTCGGTTGGTGGTGGGGGTGTGCTGGTGGATGGGGTGGGGTCCTCGGGGACGTCGGGGGTGCCTGGGCGGCTGGTGGAGGGGGAGGGGGAGTCGGGTTTGGTCTTTTTGCCTTTTTTCTTTTTGAGCGCTTCGATCTGGGGTTGTTAGTTGGGAATGGAACGGGGGTCAATTGGGGCAAGAGGAGGGAGGTGGGTACTCGTTTCTTTGCGGCTGCGAGCCGTTCGGCTTTTGCGGCTTCGTCTTCGGGCATTGGTGTTTATTTGTGGTGTTTCTTGTGTATGTTGGAGCTGTGGTGATGATGTTTTGAGGTGTGGAGCGAGGCGATTACCCGGATTGCGTTCTTGAGGCTCTGCAGAGTAGAGTAACCCCTGCCCTGACGATCACGTGCGTATACAGAGACACAGAACTGCAGACAGGATGGAAGGAAGGAAGGAAGGAAGGAAGGGCAGTGCAGTTGGTTGGGTTCGATTAACTCCCCTCCTCCTGCATGACGAGGGAGGGAGTGCAGATGTGTCATTGCATTGGGGGTTATGTATGTACGTACGGTTGGTTACGTGCGAGGCAGTCGAAATTACACTTGCACAGACATCACATCAACGGGGCATTGCGCCATTGAAGGCCTGCAGTGGTATATCGCGGTGTGTGGTGTATATATATGGCCCACGGGTTGGGTTGGGTAGATCAATATCGATAATGTTGATTATTCGGTTCTGATTATTTAATTCTCTGCAGGCTTTAATTACCGTTACCACTGCAGCACTGTCTTCCTGTGCGTGGGCAGTCAATTGGCAGTGTAATAACAGTAGCAGCAATCTACATCTACGGCAGACTGGTTAGCCAGTGGCCCCAACAGACAGACAGTCAGACGATCCACGGTCCACGGTCCGTCCGGCCACGATAATAAGTCAACACTCAAGTCATATGATTACGCGTTACTCTGTCTCTGTCTCTGAGCTGCGACAATGAATATGAATACATGTATCCGTTCAGTGTTTCTAACTTGCAGCTGAGGATGCGGCTCTACAATTCACCCGTCAACCGCAACCCCCGTCAATTTGCATCTGATAACGGCCATCTCTCCTCTCATCTCATGCAGCATCTCAACAATCAGATAACCTCGCACCATCCCATCGGCTACACTCACCCTCTCCCAGCCAGCCAGTCAGAAAGCCACTCCACCACCTCCTCCTCCCCTGTCACTGTCCCCCGCCCAAGAGCACGCGAGATGTCTCCGTTTTCATTCATAGAAAGGGCCATCACCTAGCTGTGCTACGCGAGACAAAACGAAACAAAAGACACACAGAATCAGAAAGAAGAAAAAGAGCAAAAGAAACAGAAACAGAGACATGCTGAAACGGCGGTCCACACAATGCCTACAAAAGACAAAAGACACACATCTCACTCACTAGCTAGGCGGCGGGTATGTAGCAGTTGGCAGGCCAGCCCTAGGAATTAACCATGTCCTGTCTCGTCTCGTCTGTCAAAAAACCGTCGCGCGCCAGCCAGCCAGCCAGCCAGCAGCAAATTAAAATAAAAACCGCATCTCATCTCGCTAGAGTACCAGTATCAATCTAAATTTGTCCCCCAACCCATACCCATACAAAAAATCTCTAAATGCGCAGGACCTCTGCCTCACGTGACACAGGCCCAAACCGCCGCCCGCACTGCACACGGGAGGGAAGCACAGACTTTACTTACAGAGCAAGCAAGCAAGGACAGGGAACAAGGACCAGGAGAGCTGCAAAGGAAAAAGAAGAAAAAAAAAGAGAGTGAGAGTGAGAGTGAGGCTTCGTGAGATTGACAGTCTCGAAAGAAGTAAAGATAGCAAATCAACAAAAAAAAAAAAAAAGGTTTTTTTTTTCCTTTTGCGCCCCCCCTCCAAGGAAGGGGGGGTATTGAAACACGTTTATATATATAGTAATAGAGAGAGAGAGAGGACCATACAAAACCTCCCCCAACCTCCTTGATCGATCCTCTCTCCCGGATTCCATCCACCACCACCATCACCAGTGTGCACCCCTGGCTACATAGATCTCGTTCCTGCCCGTCGATTCGTGAAGGGACATCCAATCTTCTTTTCTGCTGATTTGACCTGCCTGCCTCCCTTGCCTATACATACATACATAACATAACCTGTCGCGCGACAGCCCAGTCGTTACTGTTACTGTTACTGTTACTGTACTATACTGTGCTGATACTGCTACAACGAATCGATCACATCTCCATATCCATTGACTGCATCTCATACGATACGCTGACAGCGCTCGCTCTCCCGCTGCCGCTGCCGCTGCTGCACTCTCCCAGCACCTACCGTTCCTACCTACCTATCACCACCCGTCCCCAAACCCAGCACCTCGGTCCTCATCTCTCTCCCACCCACCAATCACCAACCACCAACCCACCAACCCACACCCACCACCAAATGGCCGCCGAACCCCCCTCCCCCTCCGCCTCCCTCACCAGCCACTTCACCGCGCTCTCCGGGCCCCTCACAACCCATCTAACCGACGCCAACGCGATCCCCATCCTCTCCACGCACCCGTCGCCCAACAGCCCCGCGCTCTCCTCGCTCTCGTCGGCGTTCGTGCAGGCGCACGACACGGCGTGCCGCATGGGGCTGGGCACGCCGCTGCGGGTGACGATCGCCACGGCCACCGGCGCGGCAGTGATACAGACGGCGACGGTGGAGGCGGGCAAGGAGCGCGAGATGCTGGTGGGCACCGTGGTGGCGCGCGCGGATCGGCTGGCGGAGGCGCGGCTGGCGAGTTGGGGGGTGGAGGAGGTGGCGAGGAGGTTCCAGAAGACGGTGGCGGGGGATGCGGCGTAGATGGGGGGGGGGGGGTTTACTACTGCTACAGTGCTACTGCGTTACTGGTTTTTTTTACTTTGGGGGCTTGCATATGGGCTGGCTGGCTGTTATTCTTACTCTTTGGCTTGGGCATGGGCTTTGGCATGGCTTGGGCATGGCTTGGGCATGGGCTTGGGCTTGGGCATGGGCTTGGGCATGGGCAGGTGGGATATCTAGGCGGGATAGGCGGGCGGGTGGGAGAACCATTAACATTGCTCGACTCTAACTCTTACTCCACTGTACTCTTTCTTTGCATGCAGCGTTACGTTACGATAATCATTCTGGCTCTTCCCGGTTTTTCTCATTTCTCATTTCTCATTTTCGCGGGGTTCTCTTTTTTTTTTCTTTCCTTTTCTTCTTCTGTATGTAGAACTATTACTATTCTTTTTTTTCTTTTGTGCTTTTGGCTGGGCCCTAAGTATCTCTTTGTCTCTGTGTGACCGGTGGCTTAATACCGGCGCGCGCGCGCGCGCGGGTCGGTCACCTGCCTACATAGCTAACTCCATAGCTATTTCATATTTCATATTTTTTTTTTTTTTTTTCTTCTCATGCTATGGATGTCTCTAATTTCTTCCTGCTGCTGCTGCTGCGGGTACGATAAGGCGTGTGGTGCGGGGGAAAGCTATTCGAGGAGAAACAAAAAAAAAAAAAAAAGGAAAGTTCCAATTTTTTTTTATTTACTTTTTCTACTTTTACGATCATATACATATCGGGGATGGTTTTTTGGGAGAGGGGGGGGGGGGGGGCGATGTCGGAGACATAAAAAAAAAAAATAGGAAAAAGGAAAAAGGAAAAAAGGGAAATGGGAAAAAGTCACCTACTCTATATAGGGAAATATTATTATTATTATTATCACTGCTAGCTAGAGTAGACCGTCCGGTTTGATAAGCATCATAGGTATCATCAGTATTTACACCATCATCGATCAGTGAGAGTGGCATAGGCAAGTATCATCATCAGCGGCGGCAAAAGGTAAGGAAGGTATCAAATCGTACCATCATCCTTCTTCTTCACGGCATTGAACTTCTCGGACATCGATCGGGTTGGGCTGGTTGGAATGTTGTAGTTTCCGACGGTGGGATGTAGGTCTATGATAAGAAATGAGAAGAAGGCAAGAGTTACCAAACGCCTTATCAGCCCAGCACGCCACCACCACCCACCACCACCCACCAATCACACCCACTCGTCCGCTCACCCGCGGTGCGTCACACCTCCGGGTTTCTTGAAAGGCATTGTACTCGACGTTGACTGCCGCGAAAGAAAAAAAACGAAACGACGGTTGGTAGAAGTGATGATTGGTCTGTGGGAAGTACCGATTGGATGGATAGACGACTCTGCTGGCACGCGACATGACTTCATGCATAGGAAGTAGAGCACTCCAGATGAGGGATGAAGCGATTGGTTGACCATACATGCATGATTGCTTGCAGATAATAATAGCAGTGTTAATAAGACTGTTGCGGTCGGTCGAGGTAACTAAGGACTTGTGCTTAAAGAGAAACACCAAACTGCAGCAACAGCTAACGAACAACTAGAGATATCAGGACATGGTTGAGAATACGGTATGTAGAATTGACTAAAAACTATGCTTAAAAAGGAGTATTTGAGGTATAGGAAATAAAAAGACAGTATGTAAATTTATACAAAGAATTGAAATCTCGTCTCGCAAGACCACTAGTCCGTCCCCGATCTTATTCCATCCTAAGCCAAGTAAAATGCCCACCCTTTCCCTCAAACAGACGATAAAAGTATATAGCAAATGATATGGACAAAGGACAAAGGAAATGCATGAAGATGCTACTTGGCCCTGCAATAGTTGACCAGAAAAACCCAACCTAAAGCCCCCCAACAAATATAAAAAAAGTCTAACACAAATCGTAGTAATGCCAAACCTCATCGATTTCCCGAAACATAGACGAGTGACCGATAATGATGCCCAACATAAAATGTCCTATCCGTGTACTGAGCTCCCTGAAATGCACGCAATAAACAAAGAAAAAATAGTTTAAATGATTTAAGCATAAGCTTTGCTTGAAGTGCCGAGGGGGTATAGGACAAAGTAAGCGCTCTGGCCAGGCTTGACGGCGGTGGTGCATCCTCCAGCTGTGGAGAAGACGCCGTTCTCGTATTTGCAGACACTGTTACCGCCGATAATGGCAACATTGTAACCGAGGGGCTCGCTGTTAAGTTGGTTCTGACTGATAGACAACCACATCATACCAGAGTCTTCGCCGGCACCAAAAATCTATAGACTATTAGGATCATGACTTGAGCAGCCGATTAAAAACAAAGTAAACTTACCATTGGAGACCAGTTGCCACGACCTTGACCTTCCTGACCCCAGGTACAACCATCCTTGATACCAACACCGGCCTTGTTGACATAGTATTGGGCGGATGTCGGCTTACCCTGCCACTTGTATGAAACATCGGAAACGGGAACGGTCAACTGCTTCTCGGAACCGGCTTCACAGGCCAATGGGACAACCATATTCTCGGATCCAGGGTAATCGGTACGGCACACCGCCACAAATTTCCCTAACTCGTTCCTGACGGTAACACCACTCTCACCAGCCTGACAGAGCTGAGGATAGGCAGGGCGAGTAAGGCGGAGCTTGCCACCCTTGCAAAGAAGTCCTCCGTGGCTCTCACCAGATGCAGGCTGATCAGCAGGCCATTGAGACTTACTGAATCCTGCTGGACAGGCGTACGAGCAAAGAGCACCTTCAGTGCATTTGCCAATGGCATCTCCATTCCCGCCGTTGACTTGAATACCAGACCAACCCTGCAGTGTGGTCCATGTGAGAGGGATAGCACCATATGCTGAAGGGAAGACATCACAGTCAATCTCGCCATCGGGGAAGTCCTTTCCAGTGTTGGGATTGGAGTCGACGCCCTTGCCGGTAGCAACATCAATGTCGAGGTCGTAGGTTCCGCCGGAAGAGACGGAGCTTGACGCTGATGCGGCGGCGGTTGTGGAGGTTGCGAGAGTGGAGACCGGGGAGGTGGTGACTGATGGAATAATGACAGATGTGACCACGCTGGAATGGCTATCGTGATCGTCTCCAGTCTGAGATGGCGAGGCAACAACAACGGGGGTGGGAGCTCCGTAGGATCCAGATGTAACAGTAACGTATTTGGTTACGGTTTCGGTCTCGGTCTTGACGTTACGTTCACCAACATTGCCGCGGGCATGAACAGCTCTGTGCTTGAACTGGCTACCACCGTGAGGCTGAGCAGCGGCAATACTGAGTAATTCAGTAGATGCAAGAATATAAAGTGCTGTGAAAGCTGGAGCGGAGAATATCATTTTGATGAGGGTGGTGAGAATAGTTGTAAAGAGGTTTGCAATGACTGTTTGAGCAAAAGCTAGTCTCTTATACAGCAGGTATAAGATGATAGAAAGGGTGAGTCCGAAGTATAAAACCTCTATGTTGCTTGTCTTAAAAAGGAATGTGTATGGAAAGGGAATGAGTGTATCCTTTCCTGTAGGAAGAAAACAATTAATTAGCAAATAGCAAAAATAAAGAAGGGCGAAAGCGAATTGCTGTAGAGAAGAAAAAGAAGAAGGAAGGATTAGAGGAAGATGGGAGGTAGAAGTACTGCAGAGAATTGGCATGTGTTGAGAACAGGTAAGCAGAGGATTGGGCAATTGGGAAAAGGTGTGATCAGGGGGCCTGCCGTCGTCTCCAAACGGTGCCTGTATGTACATGTGTGGTGCTGTGCTTCTAATGCTGAAGTCGCTATTCACACTCGAGAACAGCGCCAAGCTTCAAAGGCCCATGCTCATTTTCAACAACCCATGGCACCATACAACATGCGCCCATAAGCGGGTGACAAGGACTTGGCAGATAGGGAAATGAGAAACACCAAGGTACTATACAACAAGGGAATTCGAGTGGAAATACCCTGTTTTAAATGCCACATGGCTGATTTTCTGCCAGGGCACGGTTGATTTGTAGGTGAAAAGGAAAAAGGGTTCAAAGGAAAATACTATAGAAAGAACAAAATGCAGTCGTTTCAACTCACCTAAAGAGTAAGCCTAAGTAAAGGAAAGTGATTTGCGAGAAGAGAGAGAGAGTGTAACGATTATAGGAAGAGAAGTAAGTTTACAAGGGCGCGGAAATCGAACCTTTTAAGTGAATCAATCTATAGGGAGAAAGAAAAAATCTTTCTTCTCTTGCAATTCTAGATTCTGCGAGGGCGGTAGCTGATCGTAGGGCTTGATGAGATCTAACGGTTTGCGGCACACGATGTGGAGGAGTCTTGAATTTTTTTGTTGTGTTTCTCTCTTCCTTGTTCTTGATCCATTTATTTCTACCTGGGGGACGGATGTGGGCGTGGCCATGTAGCCGCGATTCGGGCTGGTTGACGGCAGAAACGAATTTCAAGATGTTGATGCTGCTTACTGCAATCCCCCTGCCAAGCATAAAGTACATGCGGGTTCTAACTTCTGTACCTGAATGCAAGAAGCACCACTCAAAGTCAGAGGCTCCACACCACCTTATTTTCTCAGATTCAGCCGCTTGACGGATCGGGTGCCTGTCGCTTCCCAGTTCAGGTATAACAACAACCTTCTTGATTAGATTCGATACGATTTTCCACAAGCCAAAAAAAAACGCCTTCCAGTATCAACAATTCCCTTTGGATTACCCTAATACTCTAGGAAATTGAGGCTGTGCTGAACAGCTTTGGCTCTTGTGTCTTGACTCCTTCATGGCGTTTTTCATACAATTTCATTATACTTATTTGAGTGGGGGGTGCAGCCACATGTAACGCCTTAACCACCCTTTTTGTTCCTGAATTGACTCAGCATAGGCTTTTACAGACCCCTATCATTCTATTCTGTTCTTAGGCCTATGCTCCTCCATGGCACATTTGTTAGCCTCCACGTCCCTGAGAAATAAAGGAGCCGGAGCGGAGAATGTAGATAGAGTATGAATCTGCATAGAGCATCCAAAGCCCCCCACTTAGAGTACAAAACTACGAGAAACAATTTGCTTGTTTCCAAGGCCAGGCGCAGCTACATGTAGTTCTAGCCGATCAAACCAATGTCTTTTGTCTTGTCACTAATATCCCGCACGTGGCCCGAACCCAAGAACCAAAATGTCAACCTGCAAATTCCAGACATCTCCCGCTCCTCCGAAAGGAAAAATAAAACCCCACAGAGATCCTTATCAGTGGATAACCCAGGCGACAAAAGCGTTAGGTCCGAGTCACGATGGTAATCTACACGTGTCTGAGCAGCACTAGGTACTTTACATACATAATCGGGGCCCAAGTGAGTCGGCTCCTAACAAGAACTTGCTCGGCGCCGATCATTAAAGGTTAACGATAGTACATAGAGTACATACCTTGTGGGCCAGCTAAGTCCTCAAATCGTGATGTTGTCGCCAACTCCACACAATCTACTCTAGAAATTAATTATTATTCTCCACATTTTTTAGGGTTGTTGTTGAGACAGAGACTTTAGGCATTTTTGTCAAGTGGCATGCGAGTAAACATACAGGGAATATGGCACCCTTGGCCACTTGGCCCCCGTTCCATGCAACGGGCTGGCCTTTGCGGAGGCCCACCAGCAGGAAGACAGCAAGAGGTCTGTGATATTGAATTACGCTATATCCCATGCAGAACATCACAACTATTCAGTAAAGATTTACTGTCCATCAATCAACAATATATTGGTTCTCGATATCAGCCAAATAACGACCCTCCGCTGCAAGAAATCTATTGTAGGCATTGTAGGCATGTATGTATGTATGTATGCACTTTAAGCTGCCGTTGAGGTTCTCATGATGCAGGAACGAACACACCCTGCCGGCATTACCGACCACACAATTTCATAGCACATGCAGTAGTAGCCGCAACCGCAATTTCTTAAGATGAGGGAATTTCGCGAAACGCTTCACGTCATTTGGAAGCGATTTTTCTCCTCTTTTTTTCAGAGCCAGAATTCTGGGTACTCGGTAGTACCTGCGCTGGAAAAATCTGTGTATGTTCTCCACTCCAAATCTTCATATCTAGTGGCCCTTAACGAACCTCGACTCAACTACAGATGTGGGCTGCATTATCACAACCCTGCTCTTCGCAAACTGGTCATGACCACCCCGTTCCAACTTTCAAGTGGTCATGGTAAACATCAGCCCTATTAACAGTGTTTACACACTATCCACGAAATCTCCCTAGAGAACGAATTAAAGAAGAGTTTTTTCATGCACTTTTGTGAGGTAATAGAGTTGCAACTGGCCATACGCTCTAAGTGTTCTCTGGACCATGATTCGATGACACAACCCTGTCAACGATACCCAAATTCCTGGTGCATAAGGTCTAAAAAGAATAAGGCACAAAACTCCTTAATCTTGCCGTTCCAGTTCTGGACCACAATTCCGAGTCACCACAAGCCACAAAATTCCGACCCGACACCCGCGCCGTACGGCCGTGGGACCACCTAACTACAGTTGTTCAATATTAGTAGGAATTATCCGGGGATTCAGAAAACAGAACGCGTGTCCCCAGGCGGCACAGGAAACAAAATGATCTCACCTTTTATCCTATGCCGGCCTCAATAAACTGGAATGCGGAGTGCAATGCTACAGTTAATAGTAGTACTACTTGGTAGTTTTGGTATCATTCTTGATAGATTTTTAGCCAGTCCGCCGCCGGTCATCCGGTCACTAGAGAAGGTACCGGCACCACTAGAGTATTCTACTACAGTAGTACCGGCCGACAATGCACCCCACAAAGCCCCCTCCGCCTAGTTCCCGATAACCAAAACATCTATGTACCAGAGTAGGACCCGCGATAGCTTGACGCGTGTCTTCTGGAATGACAGTCACGCGTGGGAAACAGGTGAGCTACGCACCATATCACGTGGTGTTTAATTGCGATCTACAACCGCTATTGTCTACTTACTAACTATCAGATATACTTTACCAACTGCCTAATTAAATCCTTATCTTGATATCTGGGGTATTATTTTGCTTCAATAGGAGTGCCCAGGTACGTGTCCTGCTGGCATGGCTGGTATCTCAATATCATTATCAACGGCGCCGAGTTCTGCACTTCTCCCAGCCCAGTCTTTTTTTTTTTTTAGAGGAGGGGCACTTGACTGCAGGACTTGGGCTGATTTCTAAGTTTTGCGAACTTCAGCTAGTTACCCCACTGTTCCACCATATCAAAACCCATATATCCGATGTATCTACTCTAGTCATCAGGCATACGCAGGGACGCCATCTCCGCTCATCGAAACTAAAGACAGCAACACAAACCCGACACCTCAAGTCAAGGTGTACATTGGATAAAAAATAAAGAAGAAGTGCAAAAGGCGTAACAAGTGCAAAACACGGCGAGTAACCAGGGTCTACCTCCCCTTTCAGGCACCGGATTCAACCTATTAGGCGCACTGCATAGCGGTGATGCCCTCGGGTGCTGGTAACCAGGAAAGCCTGGTTTAAGCAATCGAGAACAAGTAACTCAACTTGCTTAATGCTTGGGTTCGGTATCGTAGGCTGATTGGTAAAGCTGCATCTCGATGAGAGTGGATGCAATGACAACGCAACTATAACCTATGATATTTACTATCTAAAAAGAAGCTTTGAATCTGCGGTTTTAGTTCTCAGCCCTGAGACTGCGGGGAACTTGCGATTTCTTGCCATTGCATCTCCAGTTTATTCCCTACCATATGTATGGGCTGATCTTCTACAGCCAATGGGACAGCAAAAAGCCGATATTTTTGGTGCCTTTCATACTTACTAAATAATACTACGACTATATCTGCATCATTCAGCGCAGCACCTGGCATTATCACAGGTTTATAGCCAATGAGTATATCCGGCTAGTTACACTCTATTCTATTACTACAACGCTCAATCATTTCAAATTCTTTAGGGTTAGGGTTAGTTGGCCAGACCTGACCAAAATCGCCAACTATTTGTATACCCGTGGTGATTTCTTTGTTTTTCGTTTCCCCTCCATATATTGCATACATTAAGTACCAAGAGCTTCCTTTTAAAAGCACAACTGGTGGCGTCTGACCTCAACTCTTTACTGAAAATCATTGGCCAGATCGATCCCCTTAGTAGAAGAGTTTGGTGCGACCTAGTGCGTTTCCCCACTATCAGGCTAGGACATCTTTTTCTTGAGTTTATTCACATGCATAAAGAACGCCTCATAAGGAATAGCTGGCACGATTTAACCATGCTGCTATCAAAAGAAATATATCAAGATTTACGGGATAGATACTATATTGGTCGCGGGCGAATAATGTGGGACGAAACCTAAAAGCTCGGGTTGTTTGAGACCTTTACATCT